ATTTTTCTTTTTTGTTGTAACTTTAATTCATTTTGCTTTGCATTTTCCTTTTGGTTTATAACTTTAAAGGATTTGGAATTGGAATGCTTGAGAAGTTTAACTTTAATTGGAATGCTTGGAATTGTAACTTTAATTTTCTTAGGTTGTGAATGCTTGAGAAGTTGAGGAGATTGTGAATTTATATATGTTTGAGAAATTGAGGTTGTGTATTTATTTATTTAGGTTGTGAATTTATATTTTTGTGAATGCTTGAGAACTCGCGGCTTTAAACCATTAATTTGCGGTAACCGACCGCATTTTGCGGTTTACCGCAATGCGGTAAACCGCAAAACACGGTCGGTTTGCGGTTTCAAAAATCAGCAAACCGCAAATAGTCGGTCGGTTTGCGGTTTGAGTAAAAATTTGCTGTTACTGAACCGCAACTACCCCTAGTTTTTAATAAAATATGAAGAACCCTAAAATATAGCTCTACATGGCTGGAGATGGAAAAATTTAGCCCTGTACTATTCTTTAAAAAATTAATATTTTGGAGGGCTAAATTTTTAGCCATGAACTACATTTAGCCCTATAGCTGGAGATGGCCTAAAAGGGGACATCTCCTACCCATCATCTCAACCACATCTAGAGAAAGCAAGCATCACTTCTTATCCATATAACCCTTCAATTTCAAGCTCTATTCCTCCATCTATTCCCATTTTATCTTATGGCAAGCCATTCTAGAGCTTAACAAAATTTTCATCAAGCTACCGGAAAATTGCTTAAACCACCCACTTCTCCTCCATCATCTCTTCCTCTCTCCACTCAACAAATTCTCTCGAAATTCCTTCTCCCTTTGCTTTAAACCCTTATTTCTCATAGGAAATCAAAGCCCTCTATTTCTTTGATGCTAAAGTCATGAATACTTAGCTTCCATGCCACAAGCTTCTCAAGCCAAGCCATATATTTATTTGTAAGCAATTGTTGGTTTTGTTGGTGAAGGAGACCAAGGTGTTTCTTAAGGCTTCATAACCCTTTCAAAGCACTCTTGGGGTCTGATTCTTAAACTTGGGCAGAGGGGCAACTTTACCCATTTACTCTTTACAGCAGCTCATGCCGATCTATAGCTGTCAGAACGAAAAAGCCCATACAAAAATAAGTTGTTTGCACATAGACAGAATCGAAAAAAAAAAAAAGGGTTTGAAGGGGCAGGTCCCGTTGCACAGCCATTCCTAGTTTGATGTTTGTGTACAAATTGTCAAAACAAAGGAAGGAGGATAGCCATGGAATCCCGAGTTAAACATACCCATTAGCTATAGACCCATTTGGAAATGGGGAAGTCAACAAACAAACAAATTTGGAGGAGAGGCCATGCACATCCCACTTTTTCTTGAATCTCATCTGGTATTTGTGTGCAAATCAAAGTAAGAGAAGCTTTGTGTTTTGTTTTGGATATGACAATGAAAAAAGGTTTGCTACAGCACAAAAAGAAACGAAGAGAAACAGCAAGAGGAAGAAGTTGCGTTGGTGTGTGAATAGACAAAGGAAAAAGCGATGGAAGACAACCATGTTTTTTTGGAAGAGGGCTTGGTGCATATAAACGCAATAGACAAAGAAAAAAAGAAAGATAAAAGACAGCCACGTTTAGATGGCTTGGCTTGGCGTTATTTGCATACAGAAACAACAAACAAAAAAAGGAAGACAAAAACAAAGGGACAAAATAATGAATGAAAGTTTGTACACTGAGAGAGAGAAAGAGAAAGGCAGCAAATGAAAAAGAGGAGGCAAGTGCCTCTTTGATTCTCGAGGCCGGATTTTCAATTAATGGGGTTGCACTTTGATGGAAGAAACTATGGCCTACAAAGAGAAAAGTCCTACCTTCCGGATATTTTCCAAGAAAGTCTGACAATGAGCCAATGGAAAATTAGTGGTATGAAGGGAGCCATAGTCAGTCTGGTGTTCTAAAATATTTAATGGGTGATCCAGATAATTACTCATTAAATTTACATATGCCTAAATTGCCTATTATATGGTTAATGGATCAATTTTAAAATCATCATAGCCATATTTGGGTCCAAATGCAAATGTCAATTGTAGAAAATTAGTAGGTTAATCAAAATTGCTCATTATTTTTCTTGGACGTTGACAATAAGAAAAATGTTACAAAACCATCAAATTTTAACCATGGGTCATCTACCCATGCAAATTTCAATAAGATTAAATTCAAATTTCTTAAACACAAATTCTCAATTAGTGGTCCACCCTTACCCATTAATTTCCAATTTTTACTATGGGTCATCTACCTATGCAAATTTCAATGAGATTAAATTCAAATTTCTCAAAAACAAATTCTCTATTAGTGGGCCACACTTACCCATTAATTTCCAATTTTTCCCATGGGTTATCTAGCTATGAAAATCATCAAATTGTCTCAAAGACACAAATTCTAAATTATTGGACCACACTTACCCATTAATTTTCAGATTTTGGAACTACATCGGTTTGATCCCATTAATGGTACATAGGTAGTCTAGCATTCCAATAGACGCAATCACAACCAAATGTGAATCACTGGTTACATTAGCCAAATTCCCCAAAATCTCAAATCCATATAAAATCTCTGGTTTATTCCTAACCAAATTCCCCCCAAAACACATTTCAAAATCAAATCCTTGGTTTATTCAGCTAAATTCACTCAAACACTTTTTGAATCAAATTCATTTAAATTCCCCATTTTGCAATGAGTTGTTTATTCATTGCAATTCTTTGAACTATGAGTGACTTAATTCCTGAAAGGGAAACGTAGGCACCCTGAGGTTCGACTTAGGAGCGGTCGCAAAACTAAACTCACACATTATGTTTCTTTATGATGGAATCAAAGGGTATTTCCCTTAAAGTAAGGGATTGCAATTAAGAGACACTACGCATCGAATGGATCGAACCAAAAATAATAAAACCCCATTATTTAATTAGAGGTGGTGAAATTATGTTAGGAGATTCACATTTTTCTTCAACACGGTCAGCAACCTCAATAAAGGTTCAGCCAAGCTCACATTTGCACCAGTACGGAAAGTTGCAAAAAACTGAGATCGCCATCTCTGAAATTGTGCCTCATGAGTGATGTGGTACATGTTGGCTATGAATCTTTTTCTGTAGGCATAAGAGCCACCAAACATATATAAAGGAGCTTGTGAGTTAGATGATCAACTTCCTTCATCAAACGACATGGTGTCTAAGCAACTATAAAAAAAAGAAGACGATCATAGTTTGAAATCAAGTAAAAAATACCAACATGGAGGAGAAGACCTCGCTTACCCGCTAGTCAACTCACGGCAAGAGTAAAAAAAAAAACTGTTGATTTGTCTCGGTTAAAAAAAAAAAACTAGTAAAAAAAAAACTGTTGATTTGTCTCGGTTAAAAAAAAAAAACGAAAAAAAGATGTCGATCAAACCACAACTTACAAGGGGAATGCGATTGGTTTTCTCTCTTTCTCTACATCTCCTCAACATGCATAGCCTTTCCCTTTGCTTCTTGTCCTTGCAGCAACTCAAATAAGGGAGAAATAAATAGGGTTTGGCAAAAGGGGAGTGATTAGGGTTTTAATCCCTTGAGTATTCTTGATCAAGAAGGAAACAAAGAGATAAATCACATCCCTTCTTTATGAGGAGTCCAACAACAATTGGAATTCAAAGATTTTTAGGAGGAGTCCAACAACGATTGGAATTCAAAGATCCTTTCTTTATGGGAGTTCAATAATAATTGGAATTCAAAGAGTACAACAAGTTCAATTTTTTCATATCTTACATGCACCACGCATGACATGCAGAAACTGGAGGGTATTTGTGAGAGTAAATAATTTCATGACCACTCCGGTGGTGCCATGTGGATATTAATATCAAGGTCAAGACTGCCCTTGGTCACATTAATTATGTTAATTAAATCTTCATTATTCTCTTTTGATAATTCAAAGAATGGTTACATGATACTTCCCATATTTATAGCCAAGAATAATACACAAAAAGAGTAATCAATAATCAAATCTTGATCTTAGAATCAATTATTATTCTCTCTTTATGAGAAAATCCTCTTGCAATGTTCGTGAAAAACACATATGCTTGAGATAATTTTTATGACTTAAGCATCGGAGAGCCTTTGGCTAACATCACACCGGTGTTTATCCAATTGATTATTATTATTTTGCAGGTAATTTTTGAAGAATAATTAAAGTAGAGTGAAGTTCTTCATTTAATTCGTATAGGAGGAATTTTGCTACAACATAAGTGGCTCTTCAGAAAAAATTGTGTATTCTTGAATAGTCAAAACTTGCACATCTTCAAAGACAAAGGTTGTATCGTTTCACTTTCAACAGATACAACCTACTTCATGAACATGCACAACCCACCACACGCCATTTTCATTCAATTAAAATATTTAATTTGTAAAAGAATTCAATTTTTCAGCACTTCTCTCTGTGTTCAGTTTTTTGGGAAATTAGCGGCCAAGGCTTTTGACCCCTGAAAGGGGATTTTAACATTTGAACAGACATGAAGCGGCATATTATTATATAATTAATGAATTACTTTCATTTTCTATGGCACGTGTCATAGTCTGGGTGACTCTTATTGTACGCCGACAACACCCGATCAGAACCTTCTAGGTCTTCATCCCCTCCACGCAACCCTTCTCATCCGCATTTTACATGTCAAAGTAGCGTCTGCTCTGTCTTTACCCTTCGCCCATCCGAAACCCTAGCACCGTCGCACTGCGGCCGTTCCTCCATCACGACGACGCCGTTTCCTCTTCGTCTTCTCCTTCAGAATCACTGAGAGTCGGTCTTTCTTCATCCGGCTTCAGCTTTCAACTGTGTAAATAATTTACGGTTTTGCCCTACCTCCTCTCTCTCCTTTTCTCTTTCAGTTGCGCTGCTTTGCTCCTCATCTTCCCCAAATCCTTAATTTTGATCCCGATCGGTTTTTCCTAACCCTATTTTTGTCTTACAAATTACTGTTGAAGGCTGTGAAGCAATGGAAGCAATTGAAGCGATTAGCAAGCCGATCTTTGAGTGTAAGAGGGTAAACCGGATTTTTATTTTTAATTTGATTTTTTGGTTTACAAATTATACCTTTTGATTTTTATTGAAGGCTAATATCAACCAATTTTTTTTTTTTCCTTCCTCAGTCTTGATTGCACCGTGGGTTACGGGGCTTTTCTTTTGAGGATTGAGGTAACTGTTGCTTTCTTTTGCTTGATCTGTTGTTGAAATTTGGTCTTCTGTGTGATTGGTTTCGTGATTAGAGTGTTTATTATCTGTTTGACCTGTTTGAACTTTGAATTTTGATTGTACGCTACGCTGATTATTACTACTTCTAATTAATTGAATTTGATGCTTGATTGTGGGCGGTGGGCTGATGTTTATGTTGAATCTGTGCTGAATCTGCTTTGATTTGTTTGATGTTGTATCTTTGTTTGTGGCATGTTTAAAATTTGTGGATAGCTTTTAAAATTAGATTGTTTTAGACTCTTCTATAATGGAAGAAAAACAATCACAACGACAACTTTTGTTGATCTCAATCCTTCTCCAGCTGCTCTAAAACCCTTAAGGTCACGTGTACTTATCGTAAGGCAACTTTGCATGTAACTCTCCGCAGGCATGACACCATCTTAACAATCAGTGTAAGAAGTATTGGATGAATAACAAAAGATCCCTACATTTCAGTAAAAGGAGTTCTTTGGTAGTAATCATTTGGAGGCTTTCGGTTTTAGTAGTGACATGTAGGATGGCATGCTCTGAGATGGTAATCATTGATGAATTATCAATTATTTTTGTGGAGGGAGAGGGGATTCAACACTTTGATCCTCATATCGCACATGGACAAAGGGTTTACCTTAGCACTGCCACATGAACTTCTATTCAAAATACAAACTACATAGTTGTCATATATCACATTTTATCAACGTTTTAAAAGTGAAATGTTTATGGTTTCGCTAGGCGTAAGCCTTTGAGTCGTAAGCTTATCAAGACATCTATGATTATAATTTAAAGAATAACATACAAGCTTTGTAAGTGTACATTATACATTTGGTGATTATTTTTTTTTGACATTTATTATTAATCTTTAAGTATTAGCTCTTATTTTGCGTAGTATTAGTGTATTACACTCTTATTTAATTTACTATTTTATGTCTCTTAGGAGTAAAAAATACTTGTTGGGCCGCATGTCACTTGGTTTGAAGGAAAGTGGAATAAGCCCACATACCATGTCTAAAAAAGTAAAACCAAGGGCTGTGACATGTACACTAACTACCACAGGAAATATGAAACACATCCTTTCATTAAAGGAGAAGACTTAGTGCGAAAACAACAATCTTTGCCACATCTCTTTAAATCTCCTTCCTTTCGAGGATCTCAAAACTTTTTCATAGTATACCCATCACCGCCTCTGAAAACAGCATGCTCCTTATGCTGCCTCTGAAAAATAACTTGTGCCTTACGCTGCCTTATGCTTTTTGTGACTTTCTCTGAAAAAAGTATGCCTAAGACGATTTGTTGACGGCTTGCCCTGCCTCGATGCTCGCCTCACAAATGCCTTTGAGAACACTCTATTTTATTGTTGGTGATTGGATGATGCAAAACTTTATTGCCTCGATGCTTGCATCACAAACGCCTCACGAACGCCCTTGATGACATCGTTGTCAAACCCTTTTAGGTTTATTGACGAAAGAGATGGAAGAAGAAATCACGTAATTTAATCTTATCTTTATGGTTGGATTGAGTCTTTGGAGCAGATTTTTGTCAATAGTTTTCTTCCTGTTTATTAGTTTCCCTCTTTTTAGTAAGGAACAGATCTGTGTAGAATTTATTATAACTTTCGTATCAGTTGTTGAATTAACAAATTAGTTTTATTAGTTAAGATGGACTGCATCTTTTGAGAATATTTAAAAATAATATGGGCTTTATCATTTAATTTGCAGTTTTAGTATTACTGATTATTATTTTTTGGATGAGCTTAACATGGGATATTTAAGATATGAGCTATTTTTTATAGCACGGCCTAAGTTAACAATTGTAACAAAACCCAACAAGGGTCCTATTACCCAAACCCAATTTAGCAACCCTTTCTAAAGTGGGGTAGAATTTATCTAGCATGTGGGTTTTAGTTCTTTCTCTGTGTTGAAGCATGCCAAAAAAATCAGGTACTTAACAGTCTGTTGTCTTTGTTATCCTTCTGATTCCTTCAATTTCTTCATTCGCTCTTCTTCTAACATATCAGATGTAGAAAGCTACTTTTAACTTCTTCTTTGAACCCCGAGTAGCCACTGGTGGGTATGACATGACCGAAATTTCACCAAAACACCAAAATTATACCGAAAGAGTCTATAGCACCAAATTTTCTCCCAAATATCAGAGAAAATCTGGAAACCATTTTTCCGGAATTTCAACAACAATTTTGGTTGTATCCGCAGTATTTAAAGTTTTGGGCTTGGGCCACCCAGCAATGATGGTTGTAATGTCTTTCTCCAGTTTGTAAAGACTTCTTATGATGTTTCTTTGATGTTCAGCTAGCATTCCACTAGCTAGACCAGTGGACAACTTGTCTTAATGAAAACTTTGAAGTTAAATCACATCAATGCTACCTTTCCAGATATGTGTGTAATGTATTTAGACTTGATTGAATTGGGTTCAAATCAAATCCACTTTTCAGGAGAATGACTACTAGCATGCGAAGCTCAACAAAATTTTTGTTCTTAGGCCTTGTGTTGGCTTTTGGAGCCTTGCTGTCCGCTCCAGTGTACATATATGTGTTTTTGGTTTTGGATGTTCGCTCTTTGTTGTCTGCTGACTGGAATTTGTTTATATGCCTTTTAAAAACCGGTTTCAGTCTTTGTAGTTTTTATATTGGGCCCTTTTGTATTCCTTTGTCTTGGACTTCTTGAAGAACACCATTTTATCTCTCGTTACGAACAAAAAAGTGGGGATGTGCCCCAGTTGTGCTCCCCTTCGTTCTACGAACCCTTATTGATTCTGAACTTCGTTCGCAAAACAACCGGGCTTTTGATGGGCCAGCCCTTTTTTATGTGCTTGACCTTGAAAGGAAAATTCTCCTTGAGGAGCACTAGGCGCTCCTGTGTGAAGGACAAAGGAGAATCCTTTGTTACATCTGGCATGAGATGATAATGAGAGCTTCCTCTATTAATGAACAGCAGATTGGCTGAGCTTTTGACATGGTTATTTTTTCCTTCTGAATTTCTCTCGCTGCTTCTTTTCTAAAACTTTTAATAACTTTGTGTTAAAGTCATCTCTATAAGTCAACCTGCTGTTAGGTACAAGGTTGGTTTTCTTCTCTTTCTCATCTTTAGAAATTGCTATGAATTTGTAATTATTTTATTACAAATTATGAGGTGTGAGGAATGTCAATGAATTGATTGTCTTTCCTAGGTTGTATCTCCTTTAAGGATGAGACTAATAAGCTTCTAAATGCTTCTTCCTTCTCATCACCATTGAACACCCAACATGTGATGCTGATTTTACAGTTACTGTACCATGACTACTTTTTCAGTCTTGTTCCTCATTTTGTAGAAGTTCTTTAATTACAAGAATGCTAATCTACTCAATTATGCAGCGAACTATTGACATACTCAATTTATATATCAGTTGTATACGGTTTTAGATTATTTGGTATCATAATGATGTATGCTATGGTTTGTGGTCAGTTAACTTTGTTTATCTATTATGTCAGAGTTTATTTGTAAACTTGATTACATGTGTGTAATCATATATTCTTAATGTTTTCTCTCACCCAGGAAGGATTTGAAAATTATCTTCGATGGTTCAGCTTCTAACAATGGTTGGAGCTAGAGTTCTGTCTTAATTTTGCTTTCGAGCTTTTGGATTCAGACTTGCTGATAGTTATTGGTCTAGTAGACAGAAATGGACCCAAAGATCGCAAAGGCATTGGATAGTGGTCGTAGAGTTATGCTCGACTTAAAGAGAAAGCGGGCAACTCGGTATGCTGCAAATTTTCCTGGAGCTACCCACAGAGCGTTACCACAGAGGCCGAACTTGAATAAGCTTGGCAAGCGAAGGAAATTGTATGGAACCAAAAGCAAGTCCATGAGCTGTGGACCTCGTTTTAGACGATCCTTGCTTGCATCTTATTCAAATTTTGCAAGGAGCAGTGTGCCACAGCGTCTGATGTTTTATCAGAATGGTGAATGGACTGATTTTCCTCGGGATCTTGTTGACTTGGTTAGGAAAGATCTACAGGTGAAGAAGGCAGCTATGAACATCAAATCACAAGGTGAACATTATTTGTTAGATTTTTTGCATATGTTCCGTTTGGACTTGAAGACTGGCCTACAGCAACCTATTGCTTGGATTGATGAAACTGGTAGTTGTTTCTTTCCTGAAATTTATGCTGAGGAGGATGATGAGCCAAGTTGGAACTGCCTGCCTGAAGGTGTGAAAGATCTGGAACCCTGGGTTGAAGATCATTGTGGGTCGCGTGAGATTAAACTGCACCTGGAAATTGAAATAAATGGAGTGGGTCAATCTGGGTTGAATGAATGTAGTGGGGAGTCAAATGGTTTTGTAAAGAAAATTCAGATTGATCACATACCTGCCAATAATTGTGCTGGTATGGAAGTTGAAAATAGTTGCAACAGGAAACATGGTCTAAAAGTTGATGAAGATGTTGAGGGCAATGAAGAGATGAAGAATAATTTAACTAGAACAACTGACACTGAAAATGGAAAGTTGGATTGTGATACGGTGCAAAATATATTTCTGAAAGGAGTGAGCACCTTTGATGGTGTAGAAGTACTGGATATATACCAATGCTCAAGTAATCTGATGCAAGCTCGTTTGGAACTTTTTCAGAAGCAGGTAGAAATTACTAAAGCATTTCGTGGCGATGCAAATGTACGATATGCTTGGCTTGCTTCTTCAAAGGGGGAGCTTTCGACTATAATGATGTATGGGCTTGGTCATTGTGGACTAGCGACAAACAAGTCCATATATGGCACTGGTGTTCATCTCACAGCAGCTAGCTTCTCTAACACCTGGTTAGTGGGGTTTTTTTTCTGTCCTTTACAATTTTTGTTTTACTTGTGTGAGTTATGTTTATAGCCTCGATATGAATGATGAGATATCTGAAAGAAGTTAAGTCTTCCTGGGGTGGGGTTAGCTACTTTCCTGTCATTATAAAAATGCTTTGTCAAATGAGATGGCAAAGGGAATAACAACGGATGATTTTTAATGTGCCTTGAGGTGCCTGGCTTAGCTGGCTTATTTTGTGCAAAATGGTAAATAACTGTTGGTGACATTTTCTGCACTGTAATGGATGGTAGTAAGGGCTGGACATGATTAATGTGAAGTAATGAAGATGGTATTCATACTGTTCATCATCTAATGCTTTGGTAGATATAGCTACACCTTGTGGGATGTTCCTCTACGATAAATGTATTAATTGACTTAAGGGCATTGCTGGTTTTTGAATTGAATTGTTATGATTATATGGCACTGCTGGCTTTATGAGAAGTTATTGATATTGGTTGCTAAGAAAATTTATTTTCTGATAGTTTGATTTATTGTCCTTATGGTTGGTTTTACATTTGGTTACTCTTATTAGCATGCGTATCCGAGAAGGAATGAACTTTTCATTTGTTAACAGTGCAAGTTATTGTGATGTTGACGAAAACGGGGCACGACACATGTTATTCTGTCGTGTCATAGTGGGAAATATGGAGTTACTTCACCCTGGAAGTAAACAATTCCATCCCGGTAGCAAGGACTTTGATAGTGGAGTGGATGATCTTCAGGATCCAAAACATTACATTGTCTGGAATATGAACATGAATACACACATATACCCAGAATTTGTTGTAAGTTTCAAGGTCTCATCGAAGAGTGAAGGTGATACTCTACTCCTCAAAGCTTCCTTTTTTTTTTGCTAATCTTTAATAAGAACCTGTGTGTCCTTGTATATGCTACTAATTGTACGACTCAGAAACAAACTAGTTCATATCATCCCAATCTATTTCAATGTGGACGGAAAATGTTTAGGCGTTAGTTAAGCAAACGGGGCTTCATCCATTGTTCATAGACATCAACTCATGGTTGGGATTTGTGACTAAATCCCAGAGATGAATCATGAATCACCTTCCAACTACTGAATCAATGAGACAGCTGGCTGTATCTTCTGCAAATGCTGTATGAATACCGTGGTTTCATTTTATGAAACTTTTTTTTACTACTTTAGAACTGGTAATTCATGTTTTTACAGGGCATCTGGTTGGGACTGAGAATAAGCTTGGTGTTTCCGGGGTTGCGACATCTTGCCATGGACCTCAGGGCTTGATGCAATTGGAATCGTCAGCAGTTGATACAGTACGTGCTAAAAATGTGAATATTTTCTGTTTCTTGGGTGTGACATTGTGATCTTTGTATTTTATTCAATCAATTATATGCTGAAATGCTCATTATTGTTTTATAATCTTACATTTAGTGTTTTGCATAGTATAATTCTAGAAGTGTAACTCACATTCATCCAATCCATGCGGCGGCCACCTGGAAGTTTGATTTTATGTTTGGGATCTGGGTTCCAATCTGTGGGGATGCTTAGGCCTCATTTTCTAGCTGTTATATAAATTGAACTGAAGTTATGAGGAGTTTTGTAGGCTTTCCCGGTTTTGCATTGAAATTAAAATTCCACTATAGTAAATAGTATGGCTTGCATTTTTGGCATGCATTATTTTGGTTGTAATTCATTTACTTTTACATAACCATCTACCCTGAAGATCAATATTGACTATGCAATATTTGGTACATGTGGGAATTAAATTTGATTATGAAATGCACTCGGCTTAGATTCAGTGCACATATTGGTACATATGATTAACAATGAAGGTTTGAGCATTATGGGCCATTAGACATCAGATCTTTTCATTATAGAATGTCATATTGTTGCAGATGTAATTGTTGCTATGTTCAGTGACCGTTATTGTCATTCAAACACTGGTGAACTTGCATTAGTGTGATGGATTATATGAAGTCTTATATTTGTCTTTACTTGTATTGAATGTCTAGAGAAGTGAATGGGGTGCTTCTGGATGTACGAAGAATTATTTATACACTGCAAGTGCCTTGTATTTTGGCTGCCAACTCTATTTGTGACTGAACTACTTTTTTTACGTGTAACAGTTACATTTTTACTTTGACAATAATTTATATTGTCATAAAAAGTTTTGTCTCTTTTTTTTCTTTCCTTTATTAACTGTGACATTCTAATTCACCACGGTACTCAACAATTAGCATATGTATTCTCATAGGGGAGTGAAAATCAGCCAAATTCCGATTCTGGGAAGTCTCATGGAAGCAATGGTCAAATGGTGTCAAAGTCTGGGAGATATCAGGGGGAAACCACAGCTACTGGTTCTACTCCTGAAAGAACCCCTAAATCCCCCTGGATGCCTTTCCCTATGTTATTTGCTGCTATTGGAAATGAAGTTCCTCCCAAAGATATGGAACAAATTAATATTCATTATGACTTATTCAGGGTATGGTTAATATTGTTATTTTCCCTTCTCACTCCTTTTATTTTTTAACTTTCTTTCTTTGAAATCTTTCTTGACACATTTATGTGCTTGATTGTGATGATATATTTTCAGGCAAAAAAGATATCTCGTGATGAATTTGTGAAAAAATTGAGGTTGATTGTGGGAGATACTTTGTTGAGGTCTACGATAACGGAGCTTCAATGCAAGGTACAATTCTACTTCTGCAGTTTAAACATTGTCAATGTAATCTGGTCTCACATCGACACTAACATGCACATTAAGAGTGAATCAATCTCATGTATCAAGTTCTTTCTTTATCGTACATGGGAAGGAGGATTGGTCTCTAGTTTTCTGGTTACTCCCGGAAATGATTTCGTGGTGGTTGACTAATTGAGCAGACAGACTTTTGATTGTGATCATACAAACCATGTTTGAGTCAAGTAAAAAGAAACTTAAGAGACTTATAAAACTGAAGTTGTAACTCTGTGAAATGTAAATCTCAAAGAAAGATGCCCTTGCATGGTGCGTGAGGTTTATAAGATGGGTCTTAAATTCTGCCATATTTCTAGGTTTCTTTTTGTTTTCAGTTTTCTTTTTTCTTTATTTTCTTTCAATCCTTCTGGTAATTGAATTTACAGTTTGAGATAAATGGGGTGCTTAGAGAAATAAATTTACCGAAGAAGAATAATGCAGAGAGTGCTGTAGGGGTTCTGCTTTCAGTTGCGTTTGAAGGTTTCTACGTAATTTGACGTGCAATGTCAACCTATGATCTGAATTTTCCAACTTAACACCTGAATATCCAATTTCAACAATGTCTCTTTTTATTTTGGCTGCCAACCCTATTTGAACAATTATCTTCTCTTTTTTTCATGCTGTCTAATGTGATCTTTTCGTCCTTCGCCATAAATAAATATCTCCTGGGTGGTTCATCACTTCCAGTCTTTTGTTACGGTCGAGTCGGTTCACCAAACTTAATGATTGATTGGTTCCAAGTTAATCCGTTTGGATTTGCCGATCCAGTCAAATGCAGCTTTTAGAATGATCGGATCCTGTATGGTATTAGATTTATTCCTAACTTATGTTGCCGCTTGCAGATACCCTATAAAAGCCAAGAGTGAACTGGAAGTGCCAAAGACAGGTCCACGCTTTCTCTAGTTGATGGTAGCATGCGCCTGTCTCTGAATCTGGTATAATGCCTTCCCATGAAGTTTCATATATCTGAAAATAAAGATTGTTTGAAGCTCGCATGGTAGTAATGCGTCGACATGAAGTAAATGTTATCAGGGACCTAGATAAGGTTTTGTATTTTAGGAACTCGTTCGTTTTATTTTGGTGAAGTTTATCTAGGGTTTTAGCTGAAACATGCTCACTATAGTTACTTTTGAGTAGTGCTTATAGTACAATGTGAAGACTGGATTGATGTTTTTATTGTGTATTATTGCTATTTACCATTCTTGTGTATATTTTGAATTGTCTAGTAGACCTCTTATCAGAGTGCCGACCTGGTTGTTTTGAGACATCAGAAAAATTTCTATCAGTTATTGGAATGTAGATGAGTTGTCTTTTCAAGGTGACCTTGGATGGTATACTTGGCTTAATGTTTGTGTTCATTCACTTGAAAAACCTGATTTTTAGAATCTTCCTCGAACATGCTTCCCCAAGCACCCTGTCGGACTTTTCACTTTGGACTGTTTTTTGTGAAGTCAATGTGGACTGGAATAGTTCACCTCAGTCATAAATCTCAGGGTCTGATTGGAGTTTAAATCGGGACCTGCTTTTAGAAATGAAATTTGACTTTGGACAACAAAGGAATATCATGGCATGAAGGTGTTTTCCATCTTTGAACCTATGGGCGTTTAAGTAACCTTAGTTGTGAAAAATGAAAACTGATTATGTATTAGGTTTCAGGGGATGTTCTAAGATTTAGGTTCATCTACTTGATCCTGTCGTTTGATTATTGATATACATATTTGTGACGTCTGAGCATGCATTTTGAAATCTTCAGATATGATTAATCTTCAGTAAAAACTGAATGGACGGTTGGTATGAATTGGCGACTTGCTCACCTGGGCTATCAAGGTAGCGTGCACCTTTAATTACTGAAAAAAATTTATTGTCTGTAATACATTTATTGACCACTTTGCGGATCATCTGGGCTCCACTAAAGTACGTGGGATTTGGATGTATTAGAGTAGATAGCAATGTGGGACTTGATAGCAGTATTTAGCAATGTGGTAGAAATAGCAGTAGATGGCAATGTGTTAGAAATAGCAGTAGATGGCAATGTGGGAGAAATAGCAGTAGATGGCAATGTGGTAGAAATAGCAGCAATATTAAAGAATTAGTCTTTACTTTTAAAATTGTTAAATTTTTTGAATAATCAGTCTTAACTGGGTATACCCAATGGCACTCAGATCCATCATTACGTGTAAAGGCATGTAAGGCCATTAAGCTTCATCAAAAGCGTTAACGAATTCATCGCAGGATGGATGAATTTTAACCTCCAATGCATGGAAAAAATTAACAAAGCAATTCACAGTATATGCGTGCCCCAGTAATCTCCCACCCGAGATATGAGTAGTGAGCACCCCAAGGCCACACGCATTTGACATGCTAGTCTCAAAGGCATGCAATGTTGAACGACAAGTTCTTGCAAAACAAGAACTCCAAGGATGAAGCGAAAGAAGAGTCTGGCCACATTCGATAAAATTGAAAAAAAATTAGTAATGGCAAGGAAAAGAAATGACCGAAACGGCTCACAGTTAAAAGGAGAGGAAAGGGGTTGAACACACCTTTGACGATGATGTTGAACAAATTCTCTCCGAGCTCTTGAAAGCAGAAATTAGTGATCTTCCTGAGCCTAAAAGAAGGTTTTTCTCTTGTTCCAACTTTTACTGTTCTGATTTTCTCCTACACTACTAAAATTCTGCTTCCTCTATATCAGTATTTTCGCAACTCTTGTAAATTTCTAACTTATGCTTCATGTTCAACTTTGTATCTTCTAAGCTGTCTTAGAGTTTCTCTAGTTCTAACGGGCATCCACCAAGATCGAACCATACAAATAAGAAAGGTATGCTTGTAAGTGTTTCATGGTAAAAACAACATCAGGATTAAGTCGTATTATCTAGAAGATGTATAATAGGTACTTTATTATTCCAAGCATCCTATTATGGTGCTAAACATGCTCTGATACCAAACTCGCAGCATGGCCTTGTCAAGTAAAAACTGAAATATGAAGGATGACTTTGAGGTACGATTTGAATTGTTTCCATAAAGTGTTAGTGAGTTTGCTAATGGGTTTTTGGAAAACCACTTCCAAGATACAACAAAGTCTGGAATATGTGAATAACAAAAACTCGAAGAATTCTATTAGAAATTACTCTAAGGAAATTGTATGATTGTAGAGAAGAAGAAAGAGTAGGAAACTATTTAGGATTGGTTTCTAATATATTGCTCTATTAACAACAGGAAGTATATGAACAGAAGTCATCCATTCAACATATCTCAAAGTGTGCAACACCAGTTTCTCAAAGGGCACCACCAAGAATTTTGTCTGTTGCAAGAATAATACATTTAATCAAGTCAGAGTAATGTACCAATCAGCCAAAAGACATATTAGTTGGTATATGTTGATGCTCTTTTTCGGAGAGGGTCAACTTAGAGATAAGGGATTGTCTTTGGCAAGAGAAGGGTCTGGGCCTTCAGTAAAGGGCTAACCTGCAGAAGACAAAGATAGGAGAAGCAGTCGTTAAGCTTCGGACACCGGTGTGGTGCCGGCCGAAGGCTCTCCGATGCCTGAGTCAGATAGGGGTAGTGACTTTTGCAAAGTAACAGTAATAGTGAGAGAGAGAGAAGTTACCATTTTTCTTGGTTATTGTTCCTATTTATAGGGAAGTAAAGGTAGGAGGTTTGCACAAAGTTCCGATGTGGGACTTTGTGCAAGTTGCTGTGATGATGACACGTGTCTCCTGTGTTTAAGGTTTGGCAGTTCGGAGCTTCGGCAGGTGGTTGTCCCTTCGGAAGAGTATCTCCCTTTGGCAGGGAGGAAGGCACGTCTACCTTGGTGTTTTAGTCACGCTTGGTTAATTATGGTGTAAACAGTAGTCCCCCAAGTTGTCAATCAAGAAGTGGCTTCT